AGGAGGAGGCAGTAAGTGAAGGATGCAAGACTGGCCACAAATTGATTATGTGGCTGCATGATAGTTACCTGGGGATCAAAGTCAGCAAATATTTTAAATTTCCCATATTAAAGAGCTTTAGCAGAATGGTGCCGGGTGTGTGTGTGTGTGTGTGTGTGTGTGTGGATTCAAAGGGGCTGAAAACTGCTGATGTGGTATTGGGTCCCGCGGGGACACTTCCCAGGAAATTAGGATATTCATATGAGAAACAGGTCTTAGGCAGCGGAGAGCATGACAAATAGATGAAATCACTCAGAGCATCTCCTCACACTGTCAATGTCAGAGACGAAGGGGGGGGGACCGGGGGGCGGCGTGAGTGAAGCCCCAGGATTGGATGTCTGTGTAGAAAGTCAGGAGAATAGGTGTGGGAATATGGGTTCTGTCGTTAACTAGTTGTAACTTAAAGACAGATTCTTAAAACAACAACAACAAACAGACTCAGGCTGGGCAGTGATGGTTCATGCCTTTAATCCCAGCATTTGGGAGATTGAGGCAGGCCAATCACTGGGAGTTCAGGGCCAGTCTGGTCTACAGAGCAAGTTCCAGGACAGCCAAGACTGTTACACAGAGAAACCCTATCTCAAAACACTAAAACAAGCAAACAAGCAAAAATAAATAAATAAATAAATTAATTTAAAAAAAAACCACCCAAGATTCTTAAACTTCCAGTTTCTCATTTCCTTGTCCATAATACTTGAAATCAGTGATCTTCCCTAAGTGCCTAAATTATTTACTTTTCTGTTGTTTGGGTAAAACACCATGATCAAGGCAATTTACAGAAGGAAGAGTTTATTTGGGTTGGAGTCTATGATGGCAGCAGGCACAGGGCTGGAGCAGCGAGCTGAGCGCTCACCTCCCCATAAGCACAAAACAGAAAGAGAGCAGGAGGAATGGTACACGGCTTTTGAAACCCCAGAGTCAACCCCAGTAACACACCTCTTCCGGCAGGCCACACCTAAACCTACCCAAACAGCGCCACCCACTGGGGACCAAGAATTCAAATACCTGAGCCTATGGGGGACATTCTCATCCAACCCACCATGGTGCTGTCCCTGGTCCAATCAACTGTTCAACATGGGTCTCCCCAGATGTGACATGACATAATTGTTGCAGGGTACCCGTGGGAAATCAGCAGCTTCAGGTCACTGTGGTATCGCTGTCGGGACATAAAGACCTCTAGTGTTGGTGTGTTTGTTATAACACACCCCAAGAAGGATTTCTGCATACAGAGACCCCCAACGTAGCCCAAAAGACTGTTTTCTACCTCATACAGGAAGTGGACGGGTGTGGTGAGCCCTATCTATTGCGCGTTGATTTTCAGCACAGTTCTTAACAACGTGGCCCTCTTCTCTGCAATGGAGAATTGGGTATGATGTGGTGATACTGTGGTTCATAGCTCCTCTCTGCATGAACACACTCTGTGCTTCCTTTGCTTGGTTCTGTGGAGGGACATTGAGAAGATTGGTGCAGCTGGTGAAGTTGAAATAGTTCTTAGTAGATGTCACCCTGGGCCCTTAATTCCTGATACAATAAAAGGTATGAAAACACCCATTTTGCTGCCCCTCCCCCGACTCTACTACCCCTCCCCCCACTTTGCTAACCCCCCTTTTTTGACTCAGCAGGGATTTAGCTGCAGTAACCCATCTGTCTAAGGGTTACGGTTATTGTGATGAAACACAACCAAAAGCAAACTGTGCAGGAAAGGGCTTATTTGGCTGACACCTCTATATCCATAGTGCATCACGGAAGGAAATCAGGACAGGAACTCAAACAGGGCAGGGACCTAAAGGCAGGAGCTGATGCAGAGGCCATGGAGGGGCACTTCGTACTGGCTTGCTCAGCCTGCTCTCTTATAGAACCCAGGACTATCAAAGCAGGGGTGGTCCTATCCGCAATGGGCTGAGCCCTCCCCCATCAATCACTAATTAAGAGAATGCTCTACAGGCCAGTCTTACAGAAGCATTTTCCCAACTGGGGCTCCCTCCCCTCAGATGACTCTAGCCTGTGTCAAGTTGACATCAAATCAGCCAGCACTGTCCATCATGGAGGGACCAATACGAGATCTGATGCACTGACCTTTCATTCATGGGAAACACCCGGCCCCCATCTCAGCAGAAGGCAGTAAAGACCACTAACACAGAAGGAGATGGCAGAATTAACAGATGGGAAAGAAGGCTGACTTCTTGCTATGGTTTCAACGTGTTTGCTCAAAATTCAAAAGATAACGGACTTCCTGGTTTCCAGATCCACATGCAAAAGACACCCCTGTCATTTATACCCAGTTTGTGGTATTCAGCTATCGCCGCGGAAACCTGGCTAGGAGAGTGCCCTTCTTTTCTTCTCTTCCTCTCTGCTCCCATCTCCCAGCCTTTTGGTTCAGAGACAGGAACACATTGTGTCTAAAAAGCATCTGCGGGCTGCCATCCCCAAGGCCGGCCATCTCTGCTTGCCTGACTCACCACAAGCTGCGAGTGCTCTGAGAAGCCTCCTCACACCAGCAGTCTCTTAATCCTCCCCCTCAGGACTGCCCTCACTTCCCTGCCAGCCTTGTTATCAGATAGTAACTGCATGCTCGTTCCTCTGTACAGATACCATACATCCTAATATGTGTGCTTTTATCTAGTGCTTACAGTAGAACACAAAGAAAATGCAGAACTCTTCAGACTGTGGCTGGGTATGGTGGTGTATGCCTATAATCCCAGCACGTGGGAGTCAGAGACAGGAGCAGCAGGCGTTCAAGGCCACACTTGGCTACATATTCAGTTGAATGCCATTCTGGGTGACAGGAGACCCCGAACCAAACCAAGCAACCAACCAACAGCTCTATGGATTATTAATAATATATGTGAATGCGTTTATATCATCTCCATTCGGGTGATAGAATAGGTCCAAGCGAGGGGTGACGGCAAACATCTATAATCGCAGCTGCTCTGAGAGGCTGAGGCAGGAGGATCACACGTTCCAAGCCAGCCTTGGTTTACAACTACAGCCGGTTTAAGACCAACTTGGAAACCCTCTGGCAATGCTGTCTCAAGAGAAAAAAAAGGTGGGGGTTAAGGGGGCGGGATTGGGGGTGTAGCTCTGGGTAAAGGGCTTGGCTGGTGCAAGGCCCTGTTCAATTTCCAGTACTGGTGGAGGTGGGGGGTCGGGGAGCGGTGAGCAGGCACGGAATTCCTCCTTCCCAAATATAACCAGTCTCCTGATGCCCGAAGGTTTGACTCCTTCATAGTTTGTGTGTTAGTAATTTTTAAAGATTGAGATATGAGCCAGTGAGATGGCTCGGCAAATGAAGGCGCTTGCCACCAAGAGTGACAACCTGAACTCGACCCCAGGACTCATATGGTGGAAGGAGAGAGCCGACTCCCTAAAGTTATCCTTGTACTTCCATACGTGAGCCACAGCATAAACACCCACTCCCAAGATGAATGTTGTTTTAAGAAACTTCAAAATTGAGATATAACTTAGACCCAGTGACCACGGTTCTGGATTCAGGCAACCACAAACTCAATGAACATACAAAGTTGTCCCTGCCCCATAACCACCACCCCCAGTGACCTTTGTACTGAACCCCCGTTTCCAGTTTTGAAGACCACTAATTTGTTTTCTTTCCTTATACTTTCCTTACTCTGTGTCTATCAGAGCTGGTATTCTGAATTCTTTCACTCTACGTGACGTTTACGAGCTACCTCCATGAGGCTGTGTGCAATGGTTGTTCATTCCCACTGGTCTGTGTAACTCATCGCTGATTTGCCATAATTTATTTATATGATTGGGATGAGTGTACCACTGTGTAATTATCATTCTATTGTTGGCCATCTGTGTGTGTCCCATTGGAGCTTTTTGTGACTAATGATGCTAGACACTTTTAAAACACTAAAGATGTATTTATTTCTATGTGATGTTTGGGGATTTTGCGTGCATGTATGTCTGTGCACCACAGGTATGTGTGCCCTTGGAGGTCAGAAGAGGAATCCCCTGGAACTGGAGTTTCAGATGGTTATAAGCACTCATCATGTGAGTGCTGATAATCAAACCCGGGTCCTCTGGGAGAGAAGTCAGTGTTCTTAACTGCCTTTTTTAAACCCACGGTGACCTGGAACTCACTGCCTAGGTCAGGCTTTGACCTCAACAGCAATCCTGCCTCAGGCTCCCACTTGTCAGAATTGCAAGAGGGACCACGTGCAGCTCGGAAACATACTTGGTTGTGCTTCCGCATGCCCAGGCGTGGACATCACCCAACTGACCCTGAATTCACATCTGTGTGTGATGACGTTACGCGGGTGAGTCGACTTTCCTCTTAACATTTTCTAGTGTGAAAATCCAGTTGACCCAGCACCCTGAAATTACTAGTCCTTCTGGGTGCTCTTCAGCGCCACTTCTGACAGAAACTGTCTCTGCAAGTGTGGTCTCGTTTCTGAATTCCCTTTTGGTTCGCTGGTCTATTTGATTTACGTCCCACTTGGCTCTTCCTTTTCAGGATTGTCTCTGCTCTGCCATATTCTTTTTAACATTTAATTCAGATTTTGAGATAGGGTCCTCACTATGAACCCCGAGCTGGTCTGGAATTCAGACAGGATTGGCGTAGATCATATTGGCCTTGAACTCAGGGAGATCTGCCTGCTTCTGCGGTACCTCCACCGGCCTGCGCCAAAGAGCTCCGCTTCCGAGTGCAATCATCCCAGCATCCCAGACACGAAGGGCACCATGCACACGTGATGCTTGCAGGATGACCCTCGGTATGCCTAGGAGACTAGGGTAAGGTGGCTTCCGGCTCCTCTAGCCACCAGGCATCCCTGCCCCTACTCCACCCCACCCCACCCACCCTCCCAGCCTAGCCCTCCAGGAGGCGCACCCGTAGGGACAAGTCCGGAGCCGGGCGGAGCTGCACGTCCTCTTCCAGCAAGCTCTCCGTCTACGCCGCTGTCCCCGCCCTCTCCCCGCCCTGCCGGAAGGGTGACCCGGCCTCCTTCACCCGGCGGTGGCTGCGGCGGGATGGCGGCGGCAGCGGCGACACCGACACCAGCTCCGGGAGTCAGTGGCTCGGGCATGGACGCACGACTGGACCAGGAGACCGCGCAGTGGCTGCGCTGGGACCGGGTGAGGGCCGATCGCTGGCTCCAGGGTTCCCGGGCGCCGGGGCTTGTCCCGGGTACAGCGGGGCCCAGCTTCCTTCCTCTCCTGCCCCGCCGCCCCGAGTCTGCTCGGAAAAGCCTATTGGGGGACGGGGACAGCTCTGTGGCCCGCCGGGCTGCTAGACAGGGTAGAGGAGCGAGCCCGGTGGTCCCGGCAGGAAAGGGTTTCTGAGGTTCTGTGATGGGCTGTGCATCCTCATCCATTCAGAATCCGCTCTATCCCGCCTTTCCCGGGACCCGGACCCCTCCACAGTCTAGACCACCCTTCCTGACAGCATGTTTACTAACGGGTCCCTGGTGGGCCAGGCAGACCAGGAGTTTCCCAGAGGACACTGGCTTCACTGGGAAGGTGACAGAGTATGCTTTGGTCTCGGCTGCACCTTTCCCCTGTAAACTGGCTTATGGCTGAAACGGTCAGGTGGCCAGCCCCGGACATCATTTCCTCTGTTCTCTACAAGTTTTTTTTTCCGAACTGTGCTTTCCTGTTTCCCATAATATTCCTCTTGCCTGTGTTCAGTTGACCTTGTTTCTCTTGTTGGTATTCCTGTGTGAACTTACTGAGGTCTTCCCCGTCGACGACGTTCAATTTATTCCTCCCAAACACTCTCGGAACAGCCCAGTCTTTTGCTTCCTGGCTCTTAGTGGGATTGGAAGAAACACAACCAGCAACCCCTTGCAGGCTTGTTTTAATTTCTGTTGGTGTACAGGCCTGACTGCAGGAGGCGAGACCTTTGGTGGGCTAAGCCGTAGTTTTAAAAAAGCTCCGCTCTCAGATTCTCTATGGTTAAATATGGATCCTTCGTTTTAATTTTTCACTGGCTCCTGAAAATTATGTAGCTGGTGTGTGTGTTCCTGCTGCCGCCTGTGGTCTATAGTACTCGGCACATAGTAGGTCCATGAAGCATTTGTTGACTAGACAGAGGTTGCAAGGCTCGGCAGAAGCGGTTCCCCACTCACACCTATGCCAGCCTGTTTCCAGGATGCCAGTGCCAACTCCTTGAGGGAGGGCCCCCCTCTTGGAAAGTTAACTTCAGGATGCTTAAGGGAAGGAAACTGTTTCCATTTCTGATAACTTAGTAGCTTGCATTGTGTAGATTCTCTGAAAGCCAGAGTTAATGAGGTATTGTTCTGTGTACCGGGCTATTGGATCACTTGCCTAAGTATCTGGCCTAGACTAAAGCGGAGGAAAGAACTGCTTTGTTCACGCTTTGAGATGGTTTCATCCTTCCACGGTGGAGAGGTCATGATGCCTGGGAAGTAGAGAGAATACAGGAAGAGGCCACCACAAAACTTACTGCCTAGTGACAAGTCCCAGGAACCTCTACCCTCAACTAGCTCCCCGTTCTACCTTCTGTCACCTCCCCATAATGCCACCATATTATGAACCCGTCAAAGGAGTGACCCTTTGATTCTGTCAGAGCCCATGATCTAATTAATTATCCTTGGAAGCTACTTCACGGATACCCCAGAAGTGAGCAGCTTTGCCCACCTAGGTATTTATTTCTCAATCTCATCAAGTTGAGACTCAAGCTTAGTCATCTCATTCCATAAAAGAAAACCAGAAAATGTAATTACTACAGAATATGAAATCCATCTAGGGATGGTACCTCCGTGGGTAGAGGTGGAGGGAAATTGCCCTTTCCTCCCTTGGAGTTGTTTCAATGTTCTTTTTCCCAGTCAGAGGTGTGTGTGTGTGTGTGTGTGTGTGTGTGTGTGTGTGTGTGTGTGTGTGTGTGTGTGTGT